CTCATCTCCTCCATAGGCAGATCTTCTTTTTCTTATTCTTTCCCACTAGCCACTGAGGAGGCTGGAGGTCACCAGAGCTGGAGAAGGATTTTGTTGCCCTTGCCTCTCCAGAACATGAGCTGCCCAGTACGAGACAGCAGTGTGGAGAGATTATTTTTCATGCATAAAAAAGTAATAGTAAAAGAAGGCTTTACCCTTTACCCATGGGGAGTGACTAACTAGGAGAAGGGCATGGCAGAGTAATCCTGTAATCCTCTCCAGATTTCTACTGGGAGATGTTTTGTCCTTAAGATCAGCAGAGTCATAGAAATAATGCAGAGTAATCAGTCTCATCTTTCCCCAGCCCTCATCCTTGCTTCTGGCTATTAGCAAATTAACAAAATCTTCCCAAGCTTTTGCATGAGACTTACTGTGTCATTACTTTAAAAAAAAAAAAAAAAAGAAAGAAAAAAAGAAAAAAAAAGAAGGAAAAAAAAGGCTAATCTCTGCCTCACTTCTTATCGTTGCCTGTCTTCACCTTCTTTGTTATTATCAATGAGTCATACTTCACCTTTTCCTTAGTCTGCTTCTCCCACACTCCTTTACTGGCTTTCCTGCTACCCCTCACTCCTGGAGTGAATTCTCTGCTCCTTTGCATGAGAAATTTCAGTTTCCAAAACCGTATTTTAAATTCAGGTCTGACGCAGGGTTGGATCCTGTTGTCTCAAAAATAGAGATGGACCTTATTTCCTCCCTACATGAGTACCACCAATAAAAATGGACATGTTGCCCTTCTTTTTTTTTAGCAGTTCGTTACTGTGCATTGCTGACAAGGCATTGGTAAAGGTATGTTTAAACTGATTAACTGATTCAGTACAAACACCACATTTTATGGAGGAAAAAAAAACTATTTGTGATAGATGTGCACAAAACAAATGCTGAATTCGTGGGGAAAGATACTGATTTTGGATTTGCAGCTTGTCTAATAAGTGTGGCTAGCAGGTCGAGGGAGGTGATTCTGCCCATCTCATGAGACTCCACCTGGAATACTGCATGCATTCAGCTCTGGAGTCCCCAACAAAAGAAGGACATGGAGCTGCTGGAGCGAGTCCAGAGGAGGGCCACGAAGATGATCCGAGGGCTGGAGCACCTCTCCTAAGAAGACAGGCTGAGAGAGTTGGGGTTTTTCAGCCTGGAGAAGAGAAGGCTCTGGAGTGATCTTATTGCAGCCTTCCAGTACTTAAAGGAGACCTACAGGAAAGCTGAAGATGGACTTTTTACAAAGGCGTGTAGTGATAGGACAAGGGGCAATGGCTTTAAACTGAAAGAGGGTAGATTCAGATTAGATATAAAGAACAAATTTTTTATAATGAGAGTGGTGAGGCACTGGAACAGGTTGCCCAGAGAAGTTGTGGATGCCCCATCCCTGGAAGTGTTCAAGGCCAGGTTGGGTGAGGCTTTGAGCAACCTGGTGTAGTGCAGGGTGTCCCTGCCCATGGCAGGGGGGGTGGAACTAGATGATCTTTGAGGTCCCTTCCAACCCTAACCATTCTATGATTCTATGATTCTAATTTAGATGTGGGTTTTCACACTGGTAGTGAGCTCCAAGGGAGAAAAACCATGGGACAAACCATTACTTTAATCACAGTTAGACTTGCTGTTACAATTTCATTTGCAAGAACATTTGCTGCAATATGAGAGCAATACTGTAATGTGGGATAATAATCCAAATGCACTTTTCTGGGAATAAAGTGAAATCAAGAAAAAAGACAATGCTGGTGAAGAAGTTAAGGCCATGAATCAACAGCCTCTGAAGGCAACTGAACTACTGTTTGTGATGCTAACTGTGTGCAGAATCCATGCAAACAGAACTGATTTCAGAGAACATGAGAATAGTTGTCCAAATGTATCACTGAGTCGGTTATGGGATTCAGATGATTTGGTGGTAGTCATTAAGTAAGAAAATCAGTTGTCACTTATTATTAAATACTTATATTATCACCTACTAAATTAGTGTGAGACAGATCAAAGGGTGTTGAGAAAATGTCAAGTTTTTGTCATAATTCATTCGTGCTGGTTTAAAAGTGTGCTGAAGCAGGGAACATGGGTTTGTGAAGTTCTCTCATAGGGTTGGTTTGAGATATTCCTCATCTTTTAATCTGAAATTGGGCATCTGAAGGTTATCTGTGAAATTCTGTGTTCCAAGTGTGTGAGTATATATGTTTCATGTTAAATGCATGTTGCAGAGAAATCATGTCTAGCTTTTGGATACTGTTAGAACAAGTGGATGTCTGCTTACACGTGCGGCCCTGATAGAGCAAAAGTACTTGGCATCTGATGCAATAGGTTCTGCTGCTCTGTGTTTCTTCATGATGCCAGCAATAATGAACGCATTACTAGTGTGAATGGGAGTATTAGTGATATAAGCCTCAAGTTACACAGTTCTTCCTTTACTTCTGTGTATCGAGCTTGATCATCAGATGACCATTGTCCCATCATCTGACCTGAGATGTTGTGCCACGTACACTAGACAGCTGGAGTGGGACCTTCAGCCACCTAGTCCTGCCTGGAAAATACATCCTTGTCTAGAAGTAGTACTCCATGCAAACAGGATTTTCTTTCTACAGAGTTAATTTTCAAGGAGCAGATCTGATGATGATGATGAGTATTCGGTATTTTCTTGGCCGGATCAGTTTCTTATCCTAGCCATTTATGCTGCCACCACAAAAGAATGGAAATACATGACTAGAGATGTGGGGAGCTGAAACTCTCATGTCTGACAGCAGCCATCTCTTTGCTCGGCTTAAAAGGACTGGGAAAATGCCCTTTTAGTGACTGATGTCTTCGGCACCAACCAAGCTCATTTTATTTGGGCAATTAACATGTCCCAGAGGACTTATTATGAGCCTGGTGCCAGCTAGTCTGAGACTTGCTTGCGTTCAGTTATGTCTCTCTAAAGATATGAGATATTCCAGTGATCAGTTAAGAGACTGCTGAACTGATCACATCTGAGACACGAACTCAGTTGGCCTTTGCATGCTCCAAGATACGGAGGCCTAATTTTTCACAATTAACAGTTACTGAATGTTTTGTTAACGCAGGCAAAACTGTTTGCTTTGTTTTTCCTGTTCCCCTCAATCTGATTTTCAGAAACATCCAGAGCATATTTGCTCTGTTTTTCCAAACAAAACAACAGGATGAGGAGTTTCAGTCCAATCAGTTAAAACTCAGGAGAGTTTTTAACTGATTGCAAGGTCCTAGCATGTAAAGTGGCAGGCTACCATAGTTTTCCTGCTTCTGCGCTGTCATGTTCATAGCACGTCAGTCTTTGTTCTGTTGAGTTGGAGATGATCTTGTGGTATGAATCCAGAAGGCATCTCACGGATTGTTTTACACAGAAAATGAAAAGAGTGATAGAGCTGTTGAAGAGACAGGTTTGTGTTGTTAGGACAGTCAACCACTTTCTGTGCTGGGAACACTACTCATCCCAGAGATGAGGGTGTGTATCCTTCCAGCCTACACATCACAACAGTGTTTTGTTTCCTCCTATTTGTCATTGCTCAGGGTAGAAGCAGTGTTTGACAGCTTTAAAGGACTTCTTAACCCTGGCAGGCTCTAGAGGAATTGTACCTAAGCTTTCTTTGCCTGGCAAAGACTCTGTGTGGGACCCTTGTAGCTAGAGATATGGGGAAAATACGGGAGGCTTTATTTGTGTTCAGTCCTACCACTCCTTGCTCCTCAAAACCACCACTGGAATCTGAAAAATGAGGACTCTCAGCTGGTGCTTGCACGGCTGCTGATGTCTGAAAGGCTTTGGAGTTGTATCCTATGTCGGATACAGCCCTCTTAAGAGAGTGTAAACCAAAGTTAGACAGTTCGTCATGAACAAGGAAGCTGTGATTACTGGTCTTCTGTGTGCCTGAGCTTCCCTGCAAAGAAAATACATGGATTTCTTCCCGAGAAATGTAGGAGCTCATTTCATTTAAAATGTGTTTTATAAAGATACAATGACTGCTGTTGAATTCTTTCAGCATGCATATATGTTGTATGATATGCTCCAAAAGCAGTTGGGAGTCAGCTTGCTGTGAACAATGGTGCTGCTCTGGAGAAGGTAGTTTTGGCATGTACCTTTGAAATGAACTGAATTCTGCTGCCTAGTGCACCCCTGAGTTTTATTTAGAAATAAAGATGCTACCCACAAAGGTAATTTTTGTCTCCCTTTGAAAAGTTTCCATGCTTAACTGTCTCTTTCTGCGGCAATTAAACCAATCTTGTAGACAGCAGCCTCCTTCCTCCAGCACTGCATGCATGACTCATGCTATCGTGGCTGCTCATCTCGAGTGCAGAATCTTGTGAAATGCATTTTTGACTGTCTAAATGTATGACATCCACTGATTTTGCCTTATCTGCCATGACAGTAATATCTTCTCAAAGTGCCAAGTTGGTTAAGCAATACTTCCCAGCCCTACAGCCCCTACTTCCATAGATTACTTTAATCAAATTGTTTGTTTAGCAAGTGCTTTGATTACCCCCTTAAAATAGGTCCTCTGGGCTTCTTCATACCCGATATTGAATGTACAAATCTGCAGTTTCGTGCTGGGTTTTTTTTTCAAAACGAAAAATTGACATTTCACTCTTTTTTGCATCTTCAGGACTCTTTTAAAAAAGTTACATAAAATGTAATGCTTACTTTGCCAGTTTTAGTGTTGGTGATTATTACTTGTGAAATATGTTGCTTTGTTTACTTCTAAGCAGAATTTTTGTATTTATACACACACACATACGCGTTTGCATCATTCCTCTGTCTGCATTGCAGGATTCACCTCAAGTAAGGCAAAAACTCTACCCTTCTTTGTAAGTACACAAACCACATAGTGCATAGCAGTTAATTTATCTAATACCCAGTGCAAGCCCTTCATACTTCTTTTCGGTCATGCTTCTCTGTTTCATGGCCCTGTTACTTGCTGAAAATGTACATGAGAAAACCTTTAACGATGAGTAACCGGAGGAATGTTTTGCAGGTTGTGCCTCCTTGTCCAGGATGCCTATGGTATGTTCAGTGAAGTGCAGTTGCAGTCCCTGAGCTCTGCAGAAGACATTGAGCAGTATTGCAAGAGATGGGAAGGAAAATTCTGCTGCTTAGCTGGAATGAGAATTTTGCAAAGAACTACAAGAGGAAGGTGAGAACCAATTCATGGGAGAATGTGTTGCATGCTGTAACAGGCAGAGAGGATCTGCCTTTTTATTTATTTCTGTGATTAATATTCTTTGGAACAACTGAATATGACTTCGTTCAACTAAATGTCCTCATTGCCATTTTGGGGGCATCCGATAGTACTTGAGCCAGCCATAGTCCAAAATGATCATAAATTAGCTAACACACAAATACACACTTAGCAGAGAAAGGAATAGAGAAGAATTACTGTGTGCAATATTTCATAAAATATCTGTGTTTTCTTCCTCTTCAGTAGATTCAAAGACTTAAAAACATGAGTTCACCTCCCTTTCGTTGCAGAACTGTTTACTACAGTATGTTTTTCTACAGCGCTGCCCAGTATGGGTTGAAGTTTCAAACACAGTCTTTGCCTTAGTATATGAGAGTTTAATTCAGTTACGTCTTTATGGTTTTAGAAGCACAATTTATGTTTATTAAAAAAAAAATCTTGCCATTCATAAAGCCATTCTTATTTTGGAATAAGAATGCCCACAGGTTTATAGGAAAATCTCCCTGGATAAGTAACAAATTGACTTACAGTACCTCTTGGATTTTGCTTATTCTGTGATTCCTTTTACATTCTTCGAATAAAATAAAATATCTTTAATCAAGGGGGGGAAAAAGCTTAAATAGATCAAGTATCTCATGGAGTATCTTTCTAAGGAAAGTGATACAATGTTCACATGGGGACCTATATAAATATAATCAGATTGGTTCAATTCTCAACATAACTTATTTGTACAAGCATCTGATCTAGATAAGCCTTTGCTATTAGAAAGGCTATGATATTTCTGCTGACACTTTTTTTCCTGTTGAAAAATGCTGTTTCATCAAAACCAGAATGTTTCATGGAAATATTATCTATTTTGGAGACAGTTTTGTTGGGAAGACTTTTTTCAGGTCCAGAGGGAGTGAATGCTCTCTCTCATTCTCATTTCATGAAAACTTTCAGAAAGTCTCATTTTTGTTTCATACTGGAACAAAAACAAATTTCAAAGCCTTGAAATGTTTAGCAAAATGGAATTGTTGTTTTCCAGCCAGCTCTATTCAGTATGCTTTTCTTTTTATGTACTTGCAGTGTTAATTTTCAGATCCTTTGGATTTTAAGCCTACTTGCATTTTTATGGATCTTTAATAACAAACACGTCTTCTTATTTAATTATTTTGTTGGCTTTTTTTTCAAGTTACATTTTTTCCAAACAAATTAAATAATGGCTTTGGAATTCTGGATACAAATGAAGTTTTACAACTGGCTGCTGGTGTTTCCAGTACTCTGCCTAGCTAATAAGAGACAGACTTTTCCTAATGTAAATTCTGTTTCAAAGCAGCAGTAACTTACTTCTGGCTATTCTGAGGACGATTAGAAGACACACTGCTGAAAATGCTGGTGGCTCAGCTGGAGCTGTTCTGGTGGTAACCCTGCTAGGAAACATTAAAAGAAAAAGGCTCGTGTAGCTTCGGGGACAGTGCAGTGGTTAAAACGTGATTTCATTGTACGAGATGGGTGGGTGGGGGAATTGTTCAGGGATTTTATTTTTTTCTTAATTGTTTTAGCCTAAGTTCTGCTTTATAACTTGATACTACTTTTAAGTGTTGGGACACGTTTTGTGTCATTCTAGGTGTGATGGAAACCACAGTAAAGCCATAGCTGAAATGAATACAAGGGAGTACTTATTCACACAGAGCATAATGAGACTGTAGAACTCATTGCCACTGGATAAATGGGTTTCCAGAGCCAGTGGTATATCCGAACACATGATGGGATATGCCTATGAGTGCCCAACCTTGGCTTGCAGCACATGAGTGAATAAGAACTATGTGGTCTGCCCTGCAAGAAAGACTGCTGCCTTTTTTTTTTTTTTTTTTTTTTTTGAGAATGCCAATTACTTTTTGGAAGGAGATGGCTTTTAAACTGTTTGTTTCCTGAAGTCTGACAGTGGCTTTTAAAATGGATAAAAGGGAATAAAATGTAGGAAATGCAAGGGAAAAGTCATGATTATTTTTTTTTTTTGCGCCTTTGAAGCACATCATCTGGAGACAGCCAGGAATGGCTAATAAGATCTCATACGTGCATGTTGTCCCACAGTCATATGGATTGTAATCTCTCGTATAGAGACAGAGTGCTTCCTCAGTCCCTTCATGAGGCAGAGGAGATTCTCATTTAACAGATACAAGAGGTTCTCAAGCTTTTTGCATCAATGGACCACTGTTACTGTTTAAAAGATTTTCCAGGCCATCATCCATCCTCATCATCAAGTACACAATGTAAAGTACTATTTAACATAATTTCAGTAAATCCAATTTGAAATCACTGTTTTAAGCTGAAGTAATATTTCAGGGTCTAAAAACCTATAATAAAGGGTATTATACATCCAGGCAAAAACCTGGCTGTAAACCTGACTTAATCTTTGGAATGGACCTGTACTGTAAGATGGACTAAAGAAACTAAACCAATTTCTTCTCCCGATAACGGAACACTTTGTTTCCAAAAGAAAAGCGGGATAAGAACTTATGCAACCATGTCCTGTCTTGACTAAGATCAACCCTGTGAAAAATTAGAATTACAGTAATCTTACATTGAGAGAAACATTGTCAATGTTGAATATTGTTTTTGAATACCCATAGGCTTTAACAAGTACTAGGGTCTTGTACTAGGTCATTTGGAGGTCTTTCATTGATTAAGGTGGTTTTCAGAACAAGTCCTATACCCCACATAAAACATATTCTCCAAAGCCATGCCTATAAGAAATCCTTCCCTTTGTAGTCCAGTAGAGGAAGTGGTATTTCCCTTTGCAGTCCCATTTCTGGCAGTCCTGTAAGACAGATGGGCATGGCTGAGTCAGGCAAAGTTACCATGGCTTGTTCAGTGCCTTATTTCCAACAGTTCTTCTAGTCTGTTCGTGAGGCTGTTGAATAAGGTAGGAACCAGTATTGTAGCAGCTGAATTAACAGCATGGATGTGGTTCAGCATCTGTTTCTGACACCTTTTCTCTTCACCCTCTCATTCATACTCTTCTCCTAGCCTTTCCTACGACTGTTCCCTGAACTGCACGCTTAGTACCAGCAAAAAAGAAAGATGTGGTAGTTTAAAGAGAGAAGACGGAAAAACATTCATTGATCTGTCACTGGTGGTGTTGGCTCCTTAGAGGTGTATGTTCCCTCTCTTGTCCTCCCACCACCTCATATGTGAGTCTTATAAATTCAGCCCCTTGAGGAAAAGGAAGTGAGATTTCAACGGTGTACTGCTGCAGGCAGGAATTTTGGTTAAGCATCTGTATGCAATACAACTAACATGTAACCCCCCTATTTTAATAGATCCCAGGCATGTTTCAGGTATCTCTGGTATAACCAGTAACTAAGTGGATGCAATTAGATGCAGGGACTGAGCACTCACTAAAATGCCTCAGGAGTAAATAACCTGTAAGTTGCCATAATCTGCTGCTTCCTACCAGAAATTAATTTCGATGAGGTGGGATAGACTTTGTCATTAGGTATCTGTCTTTATCGACAAAAATATTAGTTTTATGTTTTTAGCCCTGACTGGAGTTCCACACAGAATAGTAATTTAGATTTTGACAGTTTGTGTCTTTTCATCTGATTTGCCAAGCACCGAGTTGTTTTACTGCTGAGTATAGCAGACCTACCTGCTTCTTCTCTTTGTGCTTTCTTATAAGGTAGAAATATGAAGAGTCTCTGTTCAGCAGAACAGAAAGATGACACCAATTTAAAAATGGAGGGGGGAGGAAGAAATGCTTTAATGTAATACACAATTAATGCAGAATGTCAGTACAAATCTTATCCTTAAATAGAAAAATGCTTAACAAGTTTCAAAAAAAGATGCAACTATTACATGTATAGTGCTCCAATCCATGCTTACATTGGATAGAGTAAAACACTTTGAAGGATACATCAACTCATAAGCTTTGGCGCTTGACCCAACCTTTAATTCATAGCAGGATGTACTATCTGCTGCATTTCCCTCTCAAGTAAGTAGACTGAATATAGAGTTCATCAACTAGTGTTATGTTTTCCTGAGATTTCTGCATTTTCAAATGTAATTTGTAATTGTTTGTAATTTTAAATTTTCAAATGTTAGACACTGCAATATGAAGTCTCCCTGTATTTATCTGTAGTGTTGATTGTTATTGTGCCTAAGGGTTTTCTTTCTCCTTTTTTTTTTTCTTTTTATTTAAGTCTCATACTTCTCTGGTCTCTCTCTCCTTTTTCCTCTGATCTTCACCGTATACTTTCTCCTCTTTTTACTTTACTCTTAGAAGAGAGGACCACTGCTAACTGCTATACAAGAAAGCGTTTCAACTACTAGACGTTGACAGGAAATCTAATAGTAAGAACTCTCCGCACAGCAAGGAAGTCATAACTTCCTTCCTTTGGTTTTCCCTCCTCCAAAAAGACTGCCATCTAAAAGAGCCACCCACGTCTCTGAGGTTTTGAGGTCCTGAAACACTTCAGTAATTGCTGTGGTTAGAAATTGAGTTCCATTTAAAGAATAATTTCAGTAATTGCATTGAAGTTTTGAATATTTGTATTACTTTTTTATTATTTCTGATGACCGCTTATGTATTAGAAATTAACTTTTTTTCCCCCGAGATTCCTTCTCTTTAACAAGGACTGACTGCTGCTTGTATCTTCAGTGCTTCTGTCATGAATCTGTTTAGTAACCAGCATTGGAGAATAGCATAGACATATCCATATTGAATCAAAAGTACTTTTCTATTGTAATTTCAGTGTTTTAATGTAGTATGTGTAATTTCTAATGTACTATACAAAACTTAGTTGTTGAAGTATGTAAATGAATTATTCAACAAAATAATTTCGTACGTCTAAACAAAACTTAGGGGAAAAAAGCCAACAACCCTTCCTCCCTGTTTATATTTTGACTGAGATGCTGTTTTAATAGGCTCAGATTTTTACTTTATGATTTTGTTGCTTTTATTACTCAAGTCTGAGAAAATACGGTGTTGCATAGCTTGTGCCCTGTAAGATCTTAATAGATCGATGAAAGGGAGAGCTAGCGTACATGTCAGCTTTGTATTTGGATGGCTTGTCTTTTGGTAATTCAAGCTTATGCAGTCTAGGTGATCGTTACTGAATTTCTTTTTAGTTTTGAGCAAGGAAATCTTTCGGAGAGGGCTAGTAATTGCTTTATTTCTGAGTTCTTAATAATTGAGGCTGATGCTGCCAAAAGAAAACTGTTTTGTTTTAGCCTAAACTTGGGAGAGTAGGAGAGGAGGAAACAGAAGAGTGCCAAGTTTTGAGTCCCCAGAGCAAAACTGTGGAAGATGTTGGAGGAGAATCCTAGCATCTTTCTTCCTGTTCCCTGCCGTAAACCTTACGTAGTCTTTCTTCTTTTCCTAGTTATGGGCATTGTTTTCCTTCTTCTTTCTTTGATATTGCTGATATTTTCTCCCTGTAGTAATTTTCCCCTGAATGGAAAAGTCCCCCAAACTATAAACTCTAATATTAAAACGTTGGATCAGACATGTCACACACAAAGTTCTTGGACCAGAACTGTAGGTGAAACTTTGTGCTTGTCAGAGAAATAAACTAAATCTTCTTACTAAGTTATGAAATAAGTAGTCAGATCAGAGTCAGTGAAATACAGTTTTGAAAAATCAGAATTTGAAGTTGTTTGATTTTTGCTGTATAGCTTGTTGTATGGAATTAATGATACTTCCACAGGATCAGAATAGATATGCTGGGACTGTAGATCCTGGTTTATCACTTTACTGAGTGTATAAATATAATTACAAGAGCTTTTCATTTTATTTGTGTGTTTTTATCAAAAATCATAGAGCGAATGTATATGCATGTATGCACATACGAATGCATACCATTTGACTTTGCAGTGAAGGGCTAAGCAAGCCAGGAAGGTTAGAAGCAGAAGGTGACTTCTGTCTCCTACTGAGCTGTGAAACTGAGAAGGAAGGTGTTTAGGTGAGCAAATGAAAGCAGCTTCTTCTGTGCAGGGCAGCACAGTCATCATCTGTGGTGAGAATTGTGGGGAGGGAGAAGTAAATGCTATTTTATTAGTATTACTCGCTCTCTTCCAGCCATTTTTCTATGGAGTAGAAAAAGACGATTTGTTAAACAGGTCAAGTTTAATTTCTGCGTGTGCTGCATGTGTATTTTGAATTTTCTCAGCCGTATATTTAGCCTGTTTAACAATATGAAATCTTTAAAATTCTCTGCCTGCGCACAGCAGGCAGTTTGCGTTTATGGATACAGAGAAAAGATTTACCAAAGTTCAGCAAGGAAAGTTTAAGTTGAGAGAGATGCTTTTTGAGCACATTGGATAATAAAAATAATTAAGGACACTAAAAAGAATTCTTTTGCATATTACGTGTGTATACATGCACACAGACATATATCAAAGGATCATAAGCGAAGCATGAAGATGTCCTGTATGTAGAGGACTGGCTGTCATAAGTTCATACTTCTGTGGCCGTCTATAACACTCCTTTAGAGCTACTGGTGGTCTTACTGTGTTGGTGGTAAACAGCGGACACATACATATTTAGTATGAGACAAAAAGATTTTAACCAAGCATAAATTTCAGTCTGGCATTCAAAGTAGGGGTTGAGCCTGTCATTTAGAATCTGATATATTATTTCTGTCCTTCTCCTGGTATGAATTCAGTAGTCTTTTTGTCTTTTTTTGAAGAAAAGTTATAGAATATTACAATAGAGTCCTTGTCTCTGAAGTAGAAAAAAAGTTATTCAAAATACTTTACATGTTCTTTTTTTTTATCCTTGAGCTTGTTTCTTCTCACTTCTTGCTCTACTTTCCCATTTTTAGAAGTCTGTCCTTTTGTGATAAAAATTATTTTAATTTTTCATAAAATAGTGACTAGTAATTACACTCACAGAGCAAAATTTTGAAGTTTTGGTTTGTCTTCTGTAGCCAGAGAGGCTCTTTGTGCACATGGGAGTTAACCATGTCCCTTCACTCTAGCACAGAGCCAGCTGTTCATCTCTTGTCCTGACTCTATAGCTGAAGAAGGATACACATATTGGATAAAATACATCCATTGTTCAAGTCAGATTGAAGTGCGATTTGAGTGTTGCTTGGCGAATAAAGAGAACGAGTTTTATTATTTCTGTGAGGATAGAGATTTTCTACAGAGGAGGACACAATGTCTTGCCACTTCTCTAGTCATTGCCCCCACCTCCTTCCCCCTTCTGCTAAGCCAAAGTCCATAAGTGTAAAGAGAGAGTTAACTTTCCTGGAGGCATATAAATCTCCCCTGGAGCAAGAGGGGAGCTCTTCTGGAGCTCCTCACCAGGGACACTGACTGATACAGTGGCAGCTCCAGGAGACAACATCCCAGTTGGTAGAGAAGGATCCCAGCAGGATGTGATTTGTAACTTTCGAATCCCTCAGGTGGCAAATGTCCCTGTCCTTTGCCTGACTGGTGTCAAAGAAAAGGATGGGGCCAAGGTGCTCAAGAGACAACTCTCTACACAGCACTGCTCCTCTGCCTGTTTGTAAACAAATACTGTCATTTGCTAATAATTAAGTGTTCCTAGTTCAAGCAGTAGATAACCTTCTCCTAAAGGACACAAGTAATTGAAGAAAATGTACCGTCTTAGATATTGTGGTATGAGATGGCAAGCTGGGAGAGAGCTAAAGAAGGGACAAGTTCACGTCCCTTGTGCAAACTTAAAAATACAGATGAGAGATCAGTTAAGGTCTGTGTAGAGATGTGATTATATCTGCACTGCAACAACATAGCTTAGTTGCTCTAAGTCAATAAATACGCTACGATCTCTGTAGACACATAGAGTTTGTAGCACGTTGGTACCTGTGCTCTGCCCTTGCCCTCGTGCTGCGTGTTGGGAGAGGAAGGCCACTTGTGTAACTGCCTGAGCTGTACGGGAGGCTATGCGCTCTTTTTGTAACTCTCCTTTTTCACGTCCCAGTCGGCAAGACCAGTTTGTTCCACTGGGCATTGGCCCTCCTGTGACTGTAGAGAGGATATCGTTCTGTACAATACGGGACAGAAAATGCTGCCCTGATCAAGGATTCAACAAGTGGTCAATTTACTGTGAAGTTTTTTTAATGCTTAAGAAGTGTTGCTTTGTATGTTGTAATGTTCTCACTATTAAAAACTAAACACAAAACAAACAAAAAAAATCCAGTGTCTGAGTTCAGCCTTCTGCTTTTACAGACTTGATTTAACATGCCATCTAAGTGAGGAGGTTCACTTCTGTAAAAGGGCAGCACGTTTGTATTTCTGGTCTGTTTGTTAGTGTGGGGAACACGACTACAGATAGGAACATCTCCTCTTTAATCTGCCAGTTTGTTACCTGAATCGTCAACCACAAGCTTTATTCTACAAGATCCACTCTAAGATTTACATTCCTAAAACTTCTTACAGTGCTAGTCCATGGGCATCACTGTTAACACTGTATCATAGATGATACCTGTCGCTTTGTGAAGAAACATGGAAAGAAGTTTGCTGCCTATAGATATCCAAAGTATAAATGCTTAAGGATCTGGGGAAGGACTAGGGAAATACAGAAATAAATAAGCTTAAGCAGAAGTGAGCTAAAAGCAGAACTTTAAAGCAAAGTTTCCGTGACCCCTTGAAGAGAAGCAGCATATTGCAACGTACTTCAACCCTGTACTAGAGTATGCCTTTTCCTTCTTACAAACAGTTGAGTTTAGAAGCTAATATTACTTTTAGCAAGGTTTGGACTTCTTTTTTTAGAGCTGTTTCAGAAATAGTGACTTTCTTCATTGGAGGAACAGATGACTCGTTCCCAGAGGCAGTGTGGGGTTAAAATCCAGATCTCTGTGCTTTGACTACACAGAACACAGAACTAGGACAAGATAACTGGGAGCTTTAACTCAAAAATGCATGCCTCTTCAGGTTGGTTATCTGTAGCTATTTCCTCTCCCTCAGCAGTTTTCTTGGCCTCACCCTCAGATGTTCCTGCCTGTCCTGCAAGGATGCCCTGTCAACTGACAAGGCAGTCTCTGAACTGCTGCAAATTACGGCTTTGCATGCTAAAGCTAAAGGGTCTGCAATGTTTTACCTTAATATGCTGGGCTGTTAGTTTTATGTTTGTTTCTAAAGTAAAAGTGGGAAAGTTGCAAAATAAATAAATAAAAATCGTAAGTAAATGAGCAGTTGTGTAGGAAGGAGACCGTCCTCTGCACGTGTGCTTAAGATTCATAGATTCATAGATTCATAGATTCCTAGATTGGAAAAGACCTCAGAGATCATCGAGTCCAACCGTCCCTAATCCCATTAAACCATATCGCTAAGTAGATCATCCACCCTATTCTTAAACACATCCAGGGATGGGGACTCAACCACCTCCCTGGGCAGCCTATTCCAGTGGCTGACAACCCTTTCAGAGAAGAAATACTTTCTAACATCCAACCTGAATCTCCCCTGACTAAGCTTATGCCCATTTCCTAACAAAATCTTGCCTGTTTCTCTATAACGGATAATTGCTGACTGTCCTGAAAGCAGTTACAAGAGGAAAGCAAGAAATGAAAATGTCAGAAGCAAAATTTATCAATTAAAATAGTTAAAAGCTATTTTTTAAAAGAAGTACTGGTATCTGTGTCCTTCCCGAGCGAGCATTTACCCCAGTTCCCCTGAATTTTGTCATGTAGCAGGCTGCTCATGGCAAAGGATTAAACTTGACTTGCTTGTCACTGAATGTGATATGTCCCTTCTCTCCCTCTCCACCCTGCAGCAGAAACATTGCAGATTTAATTAGACCAAATCAAAACCAGCTTCTGGAAAACAAATATGATTTTAAATTGTTTTCATAAACATGCACTAGTTTAAAGTATGTTTCTTAATGAATCTTTTTAATATAATGCATGACACTGGAAAACATTTTAAACCTGATTTTATTGGTCTTTCTGAAGGGCATTAGGACTTTTTAGTCTGATAGACAGTCTGTGGCCTCCAGTAGTGCCTGTAAAAGTTCCTGGACAAAGTCAAGACTCTGAAATGGTAAGTCCTATTATTATGGAAATGTACTTTTTCACTCACAACTACTTTCTGTTGGTAGTATAATCGTGTTTATTTTGGGAGTCAGATTCTCTCTCTCACAGCTACTGAGTTTTGTTTTTACTGGTTCTGGCAACTTCCTAGATAACCTGAAGCCCTCTGTATCTGCATCTTGTTTCAACAGTGATGCAATTAGCCTCTTCTTAATTCTCTAGCGCTAGAATAGTAAGATGTCCACACAAATTGTTCCTCTTCTCTCCTTGATGGAGGAAAGAGATATTAGATAGCACGGAGCCAGCAGAGAAATCTATACAGTTACTCGTATTTACTCATTCTTTTGAAGCACTTTTCAGCCTTAGATTCAAAAACACTTTTCTGAAGATTAACTTCTGTGAAGACAAACTGACTGCTGGAATAAAGTCTCTAACTAGTTAACTAGTTAGGGTGACTATGATACTCGCTTCATGTGAAGACAGTCGAAGGATGAACACAAAAATAATGAACTAAAAAGTAATGAATGCTTCTGTGATTTTAGGGCATGGGGAGGTGTTAAAGTGGATTTAAAGTATGTTACTATATAATTGCAAATCTAAAATTGCATCTTTAATTTTCCTTTAATTAGCTTTTGTATTTGAAAAGGAGTTCTGGCATATCAAAGTGTCATTTTGATAATACCAGATCGTTTGAGAAGCTTCTGGGTAGTCAAGTGCTTGTGCTGTCCTGCTCTTCTTGTATAGGTTGTTCTTTGGAGAAGACGTTTGTGATATTAAAAATTTGTGTTAGAGCCTAGGGGAGTCAATCAGGATGCAAGTTCTAGAAAAGAAGAAAAAGCTAGAAATAAACAAGTTTCAAAACCAGGAGACACTAAAGGTGGATATTACTAGTTATTTCTAAAGTCTGAGAATCTTTTCTCTGCAATGTAGAAAGTTCTTTGCATTGTGCAGGGGTTTATGTTGAAGAATAATCTTGATTATATAGAAAACCAAGACTGAAACTGAGTGAAATGGCTGTTCTCTCCTTGACTCTCCCTTTCATCTAAACATTTCGGAACTCTCAGAGGAGCGGATTGTTTTGTGCATTAAAATGCTGTGGACAACAGAATGGGAATATCCATGGATGGAGCAAAGCTATTAAATGTTGTTTAGTTTTGTTATGATTCGCATTTGTTCTTCATTTTCTCTACTTTATTAGCAATCTAAAACCAGCAGACTTTCCATAATCATGCAATTTACACTTCTGTCATGGTATGAAATACTAATTCATTCCACAGAAGATCAAGACTGGCATGCTACTGCTGCAGGTTTTTAGCTGAGTGGAGTTTTTTCAGTTGAGATATATTTTTCTCGACACAAACAGTATAGTTTTATGCACAGTTTTATGGAAGCAGTTTTGTACATAGGTGCATAAATAATATCGCCAGCACACTGATAATATTGTTGGGAAGAGATCTGTGGAACTGGTTTCTTTTGAGCCATATGTACATTCAAATACCTTCTTTAGTGCTGTCAGAGTCTAACAGGATTTGAGTTGATGTCTTTGTCTTTTTTTTCTCCTTATGCAGATTTTTTTTTAATGGGTGGGCAGCTGTGTTTGATAGATTCATATTTATTGTATTAAATGAATTGCTTTATTAACAACAAACATCACTAGAAGAATATTTTATCATATCCGCAATAAAAAATATTTTCTAGCATTGTCTTTTTTTTCCTGAGAAACATTTCTAGCTTGGGACCTCTTTAAGTGGTTTTTGATAAAGTTGTTACATCACGGTACTTTTTAAGGGGGAAAGAAAAATCTGGCATAACACAAAGAGGGCAGTTCTCGTAGCTGTTGCATTCCTGTTCTTCATTATCTCCTTGTGCTGTCCTGGATTTAATTTGGCAGCTTTAAAAGTTCATCAGCTGTTTACTATCACAAAAACCCACCCACATGCAAAAGTTCCCAAATCTCAGAAAAGTTATGGTTGTTATAAAAAAAAGAATAATCAGGGCACTCCTACTACGTAATAAAAAAAATGTAAAAACAACAAGCACCTTGAAATAGTCACAGTGTTTGCCAAGTGTGCCAAATCATGAGATGTTTTTGTGATGAGGATCAATGTCAGTTTATGGAAAGAATGATACACACAAGCTGATTTCACTTATAACTTGCCAATGTCAGTTTATTAACTCAACTTCTGCTTCGGAGAGTCGTTGTTATTAACCATATACTTTTGTTTCCCCATCCATCTTAAAATGTAAATTGTATGGTTCATCTTGGCTGTTATTATAACAAATTAAAGTGTCGTTTTTAAGGTCACGTTTCTTTTCTTTCCTTATTAATAGATGACAACTAACCTACCTCCTCCCAGCTTCTGTTATATTCTTACTGTTCAGTCTGGTGAAATAAATGTGGAAGTGGATGAAGAAGAACAGATTTCTAATTTGTACCAGCCACCAGCTGTTCATGGTCTAAAGGAAATTCTTCAGGTAATCTGCTTTACAAGTCAGATAACAAATACTTTGTACCACTGGATTTCTGGTATGAAGTTTGTCTCATTCTCTGTTTTTGTACTATTTTCAGATCGATGGTTGTAATGAACGTTGTAGCTTTTGGGCGCAAGTGCTATATCTAAGGCTGCAGGTAATCTTTTCACTTAGCAATGAATTCAACATAAAGTCAACATAATGCTTACGGAAGAAGCCAGCTTTTCTTTTGTTTAGGGGAAAACCCTGAACCTTCCTGAATTATCTTCAAGAGTTGTATGAGCAGAATTATCACCAGGTCTAAAATGCTTTTGAATGAGTGAAATGAAGTGCATCTCCAGTTTCAATACTATCCAGTCTAGTAAGTGAATTATTTCTGAATAAATTGCTATCTAACCAGAGATAATATTGCACCCTGGTAAGGGAGCTTGCAGGGAGTTAGTTGAGACTCGATTTATAGCTATATGCTATCCATAGATACATAGCAAAAAGTTCCCAGTCAGTTGAGTTTCTAGGGATAGAATTTAACAGATGATGGTTATATAAAAATACAATTTTATTCTTTGCATGCAAGTGTGTGGACTATTTTTGTGGACTTCAATACAAGCCCCTCAGGCAAATTTGTCTTTCATGGTCCAGTTAGTAGAAAGGAGGAACTCTTAGGTAAATACATCTGCCATCCATACTATGTTGGAAAGCTTATAATTATGTTTTATTTATTTGTTTCTGAATGATAGTACAATTTTCTTGCAAAATGTTGCTAACTCCTTCAGTAGTTAAAGGATTTTTTTTTCTGATTTATTTTTTTTTCCTGGCAACTGGATCCTCAGTACAGTCAGCACTGAATTCTGGTGGAGACTAATTTGTAATTGTCCATCAGCTCCACAAGAAACAAAGTGTGAATCAAAGCATATGAACCAAAGACAAAGAAATTCCATAACGGCCAGCAAAATAGCTGAAGATGCTTCCCACCAGTGTGAGACATAAATTTAATTTAGATCTTGCCCTTTTGCTTCAAAAGCCAATGAGTTATGATTTGATTTTTAGGCAGGGAGTACTGTTAACTCTCGAGATGAGGGGTATCTCTTGTGTTTTCTTCATGCTAAGTGACAATTTAACAGAGCATTTACAAACATGAAATTCGGGCTAGCTTGATGGGAGCTTTAGGGTGCTGACAGAAAGATGGGCACATACGTGCGCGAACGTCTATTTCCAAGAAACCTGTTCTATTAAAAAATAAAACTTTGGTCTAGTGGTATCCTAGCCAAACATTTTTGTATTCAGCAGTGTCTACATCTGAGATGCTGTGGGTTATCAGTATTCGTGTGTAGAAGCACTTCATCACTAAATTAGAGAAAAGATGAAGCGTGCAGGAACAGATGTGATTTCGAAGAATGGAAGCTTGCCTAGCAGAAAAAAAGATGTGTGATTTCTTCTTGCTACTATGAGGTTTATTAGCTGTTTTTTTACTGGCTATTCACTTACTGAACGGTAAGCACTAGATTTTTGTAAGTGAACAACATGAGTGCTTATAAATTTTTTGAAAGTAGTGTTGGAAAAGCAATAGAAGATATTCTTCTTCTGGATAAACTTTTGGATAACGCTTCTGGATAACTGCTCTAGGAAGGTAAATGTATTTACCTACTGTTAGTGTATTGCTTGCCTAATCCTCCCAGAAGAAGGTCACAAACAGCAGCTTGTTTACTGCAGTTGCTTTTGCCAAGAGGACATATCCTTCACATGGAAAATCGTCAAGTCGTAATGTGTGAGGAAGGGACTATGATTCGGTTTATTTTGCAGATTTATTATCATTAGATAATCTGCTATGTGAGTTGATTCAAATGTACTTTAAAAAATATTATTTATTCTATGTAGCTACAGTATTCTAAGATACTTCATTTGTGTGAAGAAGGAATGGAAATATGCTTTTATTATTACTCAGAATCTGTACTGTGGTACAGAAGGAATATGAGGAAATATATTCCATCTGTGGTTAAGGAGCTGTCCTTCCTTGTAACTCAATCCTGCTGCTATTTGTCTGTTGTGTCCTCTCTGTTCAGAACAAATTGTCACACATAGCAAGATGATGATTTTATACTAACTTGTGATTTTTGCTGTTATTATTATTTATTTTTTGGATGATTCTTCTGAAAGCCAGCTTTTAATGTGTTAGTAATTCTCATGGGACAGCTGTACAAATTCTTTCTTTGAAGCTGTCCTAATGCTATCTACACAGAGGAGGCACTCAAATGTATGTAGTTACTAGGCAAAGAAACTACGTCAATGCAATAGGCAGCCTATATTGTATTAAAGTGTAACCGTAATATCTGAGTTATGAATTTTCCCAGTCATTATTTGCAATTACTGCATTTACTCTAAGAGGTGCTAGCATGAACAAAAAGCTAATTTTGGTGTGGTTAGTGGTTTCATGGTTTGAATTCAACTGAAGACAAAAAGTTGGGGTTCTCATTGCATTACCTTATACTAGAGACATGCAACTTCGAGAAAGAAGTACTTGTGTCGTATATGTCTCTCCAATCATTGTAGTGTTACATGTTCATTTACGTGTTTTCAGTATGAATTTTTAATCAACAGGCTAATTAGAAATAGTTACAAAAACTTTTTAAATGAAGAAAGTCATTCAATCTTAGTTCAATGTTTTAAAACATTAGAATCTTAAAATAGCAAGTTGCTTGAACTGGTAATTGTTAAATATGCTTTGTTATTAAACCTATGTTTTCTAAAGCATGGGAAAATTCACATGCACACACAGATGTTATAAAAACTGTGTTAAAAAAAAAAAGAAGAGCATGAATCAGCAAGTTGTAACCCATCTGATTTTGTTAGAGACCCTGGAATAAGCACTGATGTGTATGTCTGTCTCTCTACTTTGTCTTGTTCATCATCCCAGTGTGAAAAATTTAAAAAACACTACTGATTTTTTTATAATTATTTTCATATATGAACGCTGAGATGGAACATGGATATTTTGGTTGTGACATCAGAAGTTGTGATATACCTTAATTTAGTCACACCATGGTATTTTTATACCTGTCTTAAGCAGAAAATTTACATTGTCGTTGCAGATTCCTGTGTCTCTTACTTAGGAGTTATCTACTTCCCTATTTCTATGCATCACTCAAATATTTAGAGATGTTTATTCAACTGAGAGAAAAAACTCTAGCTTTGTAACTTGCAGTAGCTGTTAGCCGAGGACAGGACAGTAGCTATTAACCAAAGACTGGTGCTCTTGGCAATCAGATAATAGTACATGGAAAATTTGTTCACACAGGAGTAATAGTCGTAGTAGCAATAGCCTTTCTTTTTTTTTTTTAAGGCAAAAATTATGTAAGTCTTTGTTCATAAAACCAGCCAAGTAACTTTTTATATATATCATATATATGATATAAATATATATTATATAGTGTATATAGTATATAATAATTTTTTAATAAAATACATTTTCAAATCCCTTGTACAGTCCAAGTGAGTTATGATAAAGTGTGGTAGCTGATAGAGGTAAAGCCAAAATTCCAGAGAGTCAACCTGGAAAAGTTAATTTAAGGTAGAGATGTTTGTATTTGCAGTAATGAATAACAAAAAATTCCAATAAAGCTTTGATTCATTATCCTGTATGAGCCCTAAATGTAATAATTTTGATAAGTTTTATTCATTATTTAAATATGAAGATGTTATTTTAGTCTTTCCTTCTACTAAAAGTTAACAACTGCATTCCAATTTTGTATCTTTTTTTTTTTTTTTAATCATAGACAAAACACAGCAATCCTATAAATCAAAGAGAGATTTGGTTGTTTGTGACTGACTCCACATTGCAAAATGTGGTTCATGTGATTCCAAAAGTTGTTGCTGTGTCAGTCGCTGCATCGTGTGTTCTCAGTAGGGAAATCACAGAAACCCTCAGTGTTGCCTCGCAACCTGTCTTCTTCAAGGATGCGCTGTGGGGAAATGGTAAGCTTTACATGTGGTTTTGAAGCAGCTGGAATCAAACTGAAATAGCATCCTAGTCTCTGACACTGCAATATGTGACCTACAGAGACTTTCATTCTCAGATGAAGATGAGACACTGCGAGTTTGGGATGAGAATTCTGAAAGGATTTGTAGTTAGAGCTTTCCTGTACAGTTTCTCTTTCATATTTTTGGATTCATCTCCAAAGTAAATGAGAAATTCGATGATCTTACTCTATGTCCTCCAATATTACTGTCAGTCTTCCCTGATGACTGTTGAATCTAATGACCAGTGTCAATCAAATTTGCTAGCCAACAGAAGACTCTAAAATATTAAGAAACGTGGTTTCATTTGTTTTTAGATTCTTGCAGAAACTTGTCTTACTGACCTTAACTACCTCTAAAAGGAACCAAAGAGTCTGGCGTGTCCCTAGATACAGAAATTTTACAGCCTGCTATACCATCTGAGCCTTTGCCACCATACAGATCGTGTAATGATGGTTGTTTGCTTTGCATTCATTTTAAGGAGCTCTTTTCTGAGATTCAGATCTCCAAAATATAAGTGGACGGGAAACACCAACCTGTGTAAATGACTGTGTGTCCTGAAGCAAAAACCTCCGCTTTGGAAAGTAAAGCCTTGCATGCACCTGCTCTTTGTAATCTTTGAAATAAAGTCAGACCCCATGAAGGGGTGCCCGAGGTTGTTACCAGGGAAGAGACAGTAACGTTGTGTTTCCGGGGAGCATGGTGCAATGCAGTCAGAGTGGAATCGGATTCTCTTCTGCCGTGTTTGAATTTTTAAAACATCTTTTTTCCCTGGGAGTTGCAAAGTGTAACGAGTACGTGATGCGTGTCTCGCTGAAAGCAAAATATTTTGTCATTGAGAAAACCTGATGGAGTCTATCCATCTGTTTAGTAGCTGGCAGAGATCGTTGTCTTCATTGGCCATGACAATTAACATGGTCACCTTTTTCCTTGTTACTGTACTGAGTTGAAATGTCTTTGTTGGCAGGTAGGATTATTTGTGTTGAACGTACTGTTCTCTTATTACAAAAGCCTCTTTTGTACTCGGCTGCCGGTGCTGACCTCAGTGAGCTGACTGGCCCTCTCAGACTCGATGAGCTGGATTCTACAACGCAGGCCAACTCCATTTGTGCTGTAAGAGGTTCGTATGGCCCTTCCTGAAATGAACATGGTTAATTATTTGTGCTCACTTTGATCTTTTAGGTCTTGGTATTGATTTCTTGCATGAGCTGCATGGAGGGATAGAAGAGCACAGTATTGCTGTGGATCATTAGGATATTTAAGTTTTTATACTTCTTCGTGGGCTCTATTTGCGTTTTGCTGGCCAAGCTCTGCACCCACTCATTCATACCCCAGAATAAATGTGTGATGTACAGTCTGGTTTATTATATTCCTTCCTTCGCCGCTGTCTTTCAGGAGCTTTCTGTTCACACTAGCCTTGTTGATGCTGGCAAGAGTAAAGTATACCAGTATTTTTTAGGCAGTTGGATAAGATATGTTAGCCAGATCCTGAACGGTAGAGGTTAGTGTCTGATTTCCCTGGAGCTTTGCTGCAGTGGGGCAATTTAATATTTCACCATAGCCGTCTAGCCTAACTTGGCCAATATTTGCTCACCAGCCACTTTGGATCATTGCTTTGTGTAATATTTCACTCCTACCACTAACCATGCAGAAACATTTCTTACAATGTATTTTCTAATGTTTCCTAATCATGTAGAAACATTTCCTACTGTGTATTTTCTAATGCTTTGTCCAGTCAGCTTCTTAAACCTCCCAGTTGTAGAGTGCCTACGGGGAAAAGTCCTTAAAAGCCTAATAACTCTTGGCTTTTGAAGACAATTTCCTTTCTTAATTTGACTCTTATGATTCCAGTAACCCTTGTAGAAAATTCTAGATGCTGTTTTACATTTACATCTTCAAGTATCTGCTTCAGCATTTGAAATGAGCTTTAAAATAATAGCAAATAATGGTTACAAATTAATCCTTCCAGATATAACGTGATGCTCTGAAAAGACAGTTTGAAACCACGCAAAGCTGTTACTAAACATACCTTCTCTTATGGTAGAGCCCCAAGTTTGCAATGGCTCTGTGATTAATAAATGAGGACCTTGCAGTGACAAATCTTGAACTCGTAACACTGCATAATGAAAAACAAGCCCAACTAGAGGCACTTCACTCAAAGCCTTGGTTGTTACGTACATCTCACATCCATGTTGTGAGTTACTTGAAAGATATTTCTGTCACTGGGTGTGAAATACATTTGACTTTTTTTTTTAAACCTCTTCAATAGTTATGCTAAAAATTATCACTTCTCCACTCTTAATTTTGTAACTAAGTATGAGAAGTGCCTGTCTTCTTTTGTCCCATTGACAGTGTATGTAGTAGGATAAAGCAAACATTTCTCTGTCCTTTCTTTTTCTAGTAGAGCAAAGAAAATACACCTTTGTGATCTATTGTGTAAACAAGTATTTACTTTACATGCATGGGAGGTGTCACACTTTCCCTGTTCTGTATTACAGATGGAAGAAGGACAAAAGGAGAAATTAATCCTACAAACTTGTCTTGCTTCATCTGAAATTTGTCCAGGGTAGCTGTTATCAGTATGTTCCCACACATTTGTACCAAAGTGGAATATAAAGTGTCTTCTTTATACCTATGCTAATGCTATATATAGATGATAACTCTGACTTTTATGTGTAACTGAAATTATTTAATAGCATTTAAGATATATATCCAGTGTTTCAGAATTCATTTAGTTATTGCCCACATCTTTCTGCTGAAGAAGTGAAACAAATCGCATTAACCCTGCTTCGTTGGTGGGAGCATATGTATTTGATGGAGTGACCCATGAAGGAAAATATATCATCTCTCAAATTGACTTACTGTCTCTGTCTCTTAATTCACACAGTTGTTAGTCTGACTTTCAATGGGAAGAGATATTACCTCGTTCATTCTTTTTCCTTCTGCCCTCATTTCACTTCCTGTACTTTTTGTCACCTACGTATGCTGTAGGTGGGCCTCCTCTCACCAAACACTTAAAGAGGCTGCAAAGGCTTTACTCTGCCCCTTCTTGAAGTAGTGCTCCTTCCTGCTCCTTTGCCGTCATGGCTGCCCCTCCCGGCTCTCAGGGATCTGGCAGGCTCAGACTTCCCTAGAAAAAGTTCTTTTTGACCAGTGAAAAATGCAGGTGGTCATTCAAGTCCCCATTCACAGATACAGTGATTGGTCACAGCATCAAGGGCTCCAGGAGTGCCAGGATTGGGGAGGGGCACAGGCCATGCTGCCTGACGGATTTTAGGTAGATCAGTCATCTTTGGGAAGGTGTATAAATAGGATGAGTTAGTTTGGACGGAACCTCTGAAGTTCCTCCAGTCCAAACTCCTGCTCAAAGCTGGGCCAGCTATAGTGTTGTACCAGGTTGCTCAGGGCCCAGCTTTGAGCAGGAGTTTGGACTGGAGGAACTTCAGAGATTCCTTGACTGTCAAAAAGGACGATGTTGCAGTGCAAGCAGATCCACTGAGTTTGTCAGAAATCCTTGTTTCAGGGAGGTCCAAGCATATCAGCTCCCTGGGATGGAGTGTGTTGCTCTTCAACAGATGAGTGAAAACCTGTGGTTGCTTTCTACTGGAAAGTTTATTCTTCTTTTAAAGATGAGTCTGTGGTTCTCACCTGTGAGCTCAGGGGTAATAGATTGATCTTCTTATCACTATGCATTGCAAAGTAATTTCTTACCTCTTTTTGCTGTATAGTAGCAGTCAGGATGACCTGACTGTTGGTAGTTCATACTGCACAGAACTGGTTTTCCTCTTAATCATGCTTACGAGTAAATTCTAGTTAGTTCATACCACATATGTTATGTGGGAATATTAATTAATTAATTACATTTACCTAGTATATGACTCACCACCAGTGATTGAATTTTGACATTGGATATTTTCGTATTTAAGCCCTTACTCTGAGATGGTTTTTTATCAGTTTCCCTCTTAACAGTGTGTACAAAATGGGCTCAATCAGCTTACCTAGGTTTGTCTTTTTGATTGAACGTTTCCCCTTCCTGTCCATTAATCAGGTTAATCGATTGGAAAAAAAAATACACACATTCATTTTTTGAATGTGTCAACCAGAGCGTTAGTTTTAATCCTCAGCCCTTCTTTGCATTCCTCACCAGAGACCTGTTTGTCCAGATGTTGTCCTATTATCAGTCTCTTCTTGATGGTGTCAGCCACAACCCATAAAAATAGACTAGAGGTAAAAACTGAATTTTGGCTATGTATGTTTCCATTTAAAAGAAGGAAAAATATCGGGAAAATATCTGAAAGGTTAGTGAACGTCAAGCAAAATCTAGACTTGACAAAAATGTGCAGCAGTTCAGCAGCTTAAACTTGAGAAATCGCTTTGCATGCGGGATGTGCAGGACTGTCACTAGATTATTAGATCTGTGGCCACCTTCAGTTGTGTTTGTTCTGACTTCACTGATCTCTGGTGGTTTTCTCGAGGGAACCCTTATGTCATCATCAAAATAAACCTCTCCACTAGGCAGGATCTCATCAGTATGATCCTGATTCATTTTTTTCACAGATACTTGTATTACTTGTGCGCTGGCATCCTGCAGTCGCAATATGGCATACAACTGAGGGAAAGTTAACAGGCTTAGAGAAAAACAGATCTGTCAGAAAAGGGGATTTTATTTTGGTTTGGCTTTTTAAATTACTTTTTAATGAAAAAGGAAACATATTCAGCAAACTAATTGGTAGCTTTTCTTTTCCCTGAGCAAGGGAAACATGCCCATGCTGTGACAGAAAGCGTCCTACCTTGTAGTTGCAAGTGCTGATGGAAACTCCCAGTTTATCACACATATTGAAGAATCATAATGTCGTGGTTTTATAATAAAAGGACTGAGGGTCGAGACAAAAACAGAGAGGGAGCACCCACCAACCATGGTCCCGGGCAAAACAGACTGTTTTCTTAAAACAAAACAATTTGTTAACAGTTGCTTAGAAGGACAAAGGGAAACAAAACCAGTT